CCCCCCCCCCCCCCCCATTATGTGTTTAACCCTTCATCATGTTGCCCACTGAATCAGCTTGGTCCAGTTAGTGGATTGAAATATTCAGCCACTCACATTACACCCCATCATGTCCCCCCCAAGAAACTTAATGACAAGCCACTTTCAAGTATTTATCGTTTTAATTTAATTGTTCAGAGGTTTAAAATGTCAACATTTCTACAAAGTTTTACCATTTAAAGGCCTTCAGAAATGAGTGCTTAAAATGTCAATGAGCACAAGTTCTTTTTCCAACTCAAGTCTCTCTCCCCCTCCACCTGCAAGAGAAAGTGTCCAAAACACATACACCAGTGTTCTCCCCTTCAGAACAAAAACTTTCCAGTCCATGAAGATTTAGAGAAGGCCAAAAGGAGAGTCTTGGTTCAGTGCAGAAACACAAAACTGCACTTCTTGCCTTCTGTTCTCCAGTGGAAACTGTTCCCCTCCACCCATGGCAGGAAATTAGCTGAAGACTCTGAAAACATGCTCATGAAGAGGGGAACAAAGTTTTTAGAACACCAGCTTCATTTCCCGCCTCAAACTGTGAACAGGTGCAGTCCGGTCCGTTACTAGGACCAGCCATGGAGGGATGCAGCAGTTAGAGCCACAGGGAGCAGCAGGGTGAAGGTGCTGAGCTCTGCATAGTAGCAGCTGGAGGTGGCGTTGGAGGTAGAGTTGGAGGTTGCATTGGAAGGAAGTGGTGTGGACATGGAGGTGCCAACAGTTTTTGGGGTAGTTGAGCTGGGAGTGGTGGCCGACACTGTGGTGAGCACAGTTGTAGTTCCTAGCCCACTTCGCTTCCCCATCCCACCTTGTGTCTTGACCTGCAAAAAAAAAACCAAAGTGTTCATTTGTGTGTGTGTGTGTGTGTGTGTGTGGGAGTGTGTGTGGCGGGGGAGGCACCAATTAGTCAAAGTTCCACAGGAACAAGCTTTATATTGCATGTCTGAAGCAGAAACCACATTTAAAAATTATAATCCAAGTGAAAATGGGAAGTTGAGCTTTTTAAAGGCCGTTGGTAAAGTTCAGTTAATCTTTTCTCTAGAAAATGTTAAGCTGCTTCAAACCCACAAGACCAGTCACTAATTATTCAAGTATTTGTTAAATGGAAGATAAACGAATAAACCAACCTGTGGTGAGAAGCAGAGAGCCAGCAGGAGAGCAGAGAAGACTACACAAAACTTATCCATCTTTCTGCTTGATGTAATCACAGGACTCCACTGGTGTCTTCCAGCTGCTTCTGAAGTGAATGATGAAGGAGCAGCTGCCAAGGATTTTATACCCTCACAGTGACATCATCCACCATCAACACACCTGCTGTGACTGTGCTGCATTCAGGTGCATGTGTACATTTTGAGCTCTGTGCCAGGCAGTTAACCTGAATTTCTGAAGTAATTTTACACAATTAAAATAAAATAATCCTAAATCAATATTTTTTTTTTTTTAATTTGAGATGGTAACTATTCCATTAATTTTCACATGCAGGGATAAAGAGCATGCAAATTGGACAATAAACTGTCTCACAGGGTCTGGACAACCGGAGAATAAAAAACAACTAAATTAAAAAAAGAGTGCAGAATAGTGAGAAAATAATGAATTGTTAAAAAAAAAAGGTTCTTGCTCCTAAACATTGTTTAGAAATGGGAGTTTCTGCTGTATAACAGATTTTCAGCACATAGCTTTATATAAATACTATTGTTGAAGATAAAATACTGCAGTATGTCAACAGTGTCATATTTAACATTATTTATTGTTTTAAATAAAGGAATGAGAACAAACAGTGTCTTTGTGTTAGACTACTAGTAATTAATTAATCAATTCTGTTTTTAATAAGTTGTCTGTGGACACAACACTGGTTCATCCTTTCAGTTTAATAATCTTTATATGCCTGAGTAAATGTAGGACAAAGTTCAATGGCTTAGCAAATGTGAATTAACAAAAAACAAATAAATAAATAAAATTATCTAGAAAAATAGTGGCACAGAGAGAATAAATAGCCAATGTTTAAAGAAAAAAGAAGAAATGCATTTATTTATAAGATTAGCAATTTAAAAGCAAACTATAAAGGAATGAAGAGGGAACTGAAAACTTTACCACATGGATGTTTCCTTACATTAAAAAAAAACTTTAATTATTCTTTATTTTTCTTCTAAGTTGCATTATCTGTTTACATTTTTCTAAGGTGTTTTAAATAAAATACTTGAGTACTGTATATAATTTAAATCATGACGTTTAACTCATACTTCATCTTCACCACTAGGTGGTGCAAAAACCCTGCCTAACTTCTACTCTAACTTTTTTAAGACCGCATTTTAAACAGGAGAAGTACAGTAATGTAAAAACAAATAATAAAAATAAAAATTATAAGTAAAAACCGATTAAAACCAAATATACTGATTAGCAAAGTTCACGCTAAAAAAGGCTATACAAGCAGTTAGAAAAGGGGTTAGAAAAGAGCTGACACTGGAACTTACAAATCCTCTTACATCATTTTTATAGTACATAAACAAGAAAAAATTATAACTAAAACTGACAGCTATAACCCAACAATAACGAACAAGATAGACATAAAGCATAAACTAATTTCTTAGTTTATCTAAAAACATAAATTCATTAACAAATCAAACAAATCATGACTTAACAATATAACCCATAATAAACTGTTATTTTATTGTTTTTTTAACCTAAATACTGTTTTTTAAAGACCATACCACACAGTTACTTTTATTTAGCGCCCTCTAGTGAGTGTTATGGATACACGTTATTAATCGTGAACCTCCCGGGCTTCCGTTTTTGTCCACCCTCTAATTTCTTCCGGAAGAAACACAACCGCGCAACTATAAGTGCGAAATGACAACACGCTAGCTACACTTCAGCCACGCAAAAACAAGTGCGCTAATTTATTTTATTTTTTAACATTATCGCATCCTCGGAATTACTCCATGCTGCTGTACCGGTTGTCAGCCGTGAGCCAGACGCTAGCGCGATGGGGACGAAGGTCACACCGGGGAGGGGGCCTCCTCAGCCGCTGCGTCTCCATCAGCTCCGGTCGGTGTTTGGATGTCAGCCCCGGAGAAGATAATGCTCAGCCGGCGGAGGAAGGCTCTCCTCAGACGCTGTACCGAGACACGGTGTTCCTGCCCCGGACAGAGTTCCCCATGAAACTGACTGGACAGCAGCTTCTGGACCGAGAAGTTCAGATTCAGCAGGTATGTTTCTCTAACATTCCATATTAATTGAAGTAGTTAAAATTAGTTGAAAATTAACTCGCAAACTCACCATTTTCATACAATAAAGTCAGAATTTATTTTTTAGTAAAAATACGCATCCATATTCATGTTTTAAACTAAGTCTGGTTAATGACAACTTAAATTTATTTACATAAAAATGTACTGACCAAAGCAAGGTGTATCTGCAGCCATATTGTATTTGTTTAAAATCTATCTAGGTATTTGTTTTAGTTGCAGATAAACACATTCTTGTCTTCATGGTGCTGCTTTTGCAGGAATGTGGTTTTGCAGAACTGTACTCATGGCAGAGAGAAAGGAAGGCCAAGAAAGAGTTCTGCCTTCATGATGGACCCCCATATGCCAATGGAGACCCTCATGTTGGACATGCTCTCAATAAGGTCATTATTATAGTGTGCGCTTTAGTTGTTTCTCATATGCTTACTGCTTTTATTGTTCATTTTATTAAGTAATCCTCAATATTTGACATCTTCAGTATGACTGGTTTGCTGCTTTTTTGCACGCGTTGAAAGCTCAAAGTCACACAGCGACATTATTTTAGATTCTGAAAGACATCCGTAACCGTTTTGAGATGCTAAGAGGACGACGGGTCCACTACATCCCAGGCTGGGACTGCCATGGCCTCCCCATTGAGCTGAAAGCTCTGGGACAACTGGGCACCAGTGGTCTCAGTCCGCTGCAGATAAGACAGAAAGGTGAGGGTGAACAGATGTTAGGCTGATCTAGGTATTTGTTTTAGTTGCAGATAAACACATTTAGAATTTGGTGCCATTGTAAAAGTTTATGTTTATTTCATTTAGCACGGGAGTTTGCAGAAGGAGCAATAGTTCGGCAGAAGGCTGCCTTCCAGCGGTGGGGCGTAATGGCTGACTGGGAGCAGTGCTACTACACGTTTGATGGGACCTATGAGGCAGCTCAGCTAAAAGTCTTCCAGGAGATGCACAGCAAGGTGAGCAAACACTTTCATGAGCTTGAAGTGATCACCATTCACTCATCCTCACGAGACTGAACAGAGTTCTGTTTGAGAACAAAAAGCTGCAGTAAAATGAGATCTTATTCCAAGATGTGTGTACCTATTGGGATCTGCATCAAGTTGCTTCATCCAAGGATTGCATCCAGATCTCGATGTAAGCCACAACAGAAATGGGTGGAGCGGCAGCCCAGAGAATACCTTTTAAGTATTCCTACTTTTAGCTTTTGCTGTGAATTATCATCTTTTATGTAAAAATGACCAAAGACTAAACAACATTTTCTTCTGTAACCTGTCTTTTAGGTTGTAAACACTGCCAAGTACTTTTTAGCCCTAATTTCAGACTTGTATTTCCTTATTTATGTTAAAAATAGACAAAATATGAATGAAAGCAGATTCATTTGTTGTTTTAAAACTCTGAGTATGTGTGTTACTGTGAGAAAGTAGAATAGACACCAAGAGATGTAAAAAATAAGTACAATTTTAACCTAAACCGCTCATAAAAGATTATAAAGAATCATAGTTTATTTTGTGACTGTCATTTATTAGTTTCAAACTGAGCTGTTTGTGTTTTCATTTATTAGTTCTGAGCCAAAAGTTTCATAACTCAGTCTGATATTGTTCTCTTGCAGGGTCTCGTATACCAGGACTACAAACCTGTTTTCTGGTCTCCTTCTTCGAGGTACTGCATCAACAGTTTCCCACTTTTTAAATGTGTTATTTTGTTTTTTAAACGTCCATGCTGCCTCTTGGTGTTTACAGGACAGCCCTGGCTGAAGCAGAGCTGGAGTATAACCCAGAACATGTGAGCAGAGCCATTTATGCCACATTCCCTTTGATCACGCTGCCACCCAAGGTTGCATCAGAAGAAGGTAAATCAGTCACTAACACACAGATGGTATTAACCTTTAAAACACTTTGTGGCTTGTCCTGACTGTGCGATAATGAAATAATTTGTAGGTCTGGAGAACATCTCCGTATTAGTTTGGACCACCCAGCCTTGGACCATTCCTTCCAATCAGGCTGTCTGTTACATGCCCAATTCCCAGTAAGTCCATGTTAGCCTCTCACCTTCTGCCTTTTTTCACTTTGAGTCAGAATTTCCCTGCTTTTTGTTTAGATGCGATTTAATTATTCATGCCAAAAAGTTTATTCCACAATTGCTTTTATTTGTACCATTTTAATTCTGACACCCTTTCTTGTTGTTTTGAGAGATATATGTGAAAATATACACGTGCACAGATGGATATTGATTACAAAACAACATTCTGGCAAATAGAATGCAGATCCTGTTAGTGACAGTTGTGCTCCTCTGCATCCTCATCGGCCTTGCAGAGGTTTTGCAGCAGTCTGATTCAGTATTGATAGAATACAAGTTGTTACGTTGTTTTTATTAATTAAGTTTAGAACAGAGTTTGCAATAACTAATACGCAGTGGCATTTGCTGTGTGTAGTGTTGGTTTTTGACATCAGGGAGCTTGTTTTTTGTTTGCAGGTACTCGGTGGTGAAGAGAGCAGATAATTCTCAGCTGCTGCTGATAGCGACTGAGCGCATCGCCAGCCTGGGGACCCTGCTGGGCACAGAGCTACATAGCGTCGCTACATTCACAGGTGATGATCCCTCACAGCTCTTTCACTACAGAGTAATGCTTAAAATTCATACAGAGGGTTTTAATGCATTTATTACCTCTCATCTAGACTGAGAATCAAATTCTACTTACAGATTTAACCATGCATATTTTCACTTTTTTTTGTAATTTCTAAGGTTCCCAGCTTGAAGGAGGGATATGCAAACATCCCACAATTACTGACAAGCAAGTACCGTTACTGCCAGCCAATCATGTGACCATGACTAAAGGAACAGGGTTGGTCCACACTGCTCCAGCTCACGGCATGGAGGATTACAGTGTGGCTTCACACTTTAACCTTTCTGTGGTAAGTCTTTGAGATAGTAACATTTATAAAAAAATAAATAAATAAAAGAAGTCTTACTATGTTGTTTCTTTATGTTTTAATAAAGGAGTGCGTGGTGGATGAAGATGGCAGGTTCACAGAGTTGGCAGGACCTGAGCTACAGAGCCTCTCTGTGATGACTGAAGGAACTGATAAAGGTGCAGCAGATGATGTTACAGTAGCTCCCTGAGATGAGTAGATGTAATGTTCTAATGTGTTCGTATCTGTCCTGAATGTATGTTTCTGTGCAACCTGCTTTGCTGGCTGTTTTAGTGATTTCCATGCTGAAGGAGAGTGGTTCTCTGGTGCTGGAGGAGCAGTGCGTCCACAGTTATCCGTACGACTGGCGAACGAAGCAGCCCATGATCATCAGGCCCAGTAAACAATGGTTCATCAACACAGAGTCACTCAAAGCCAAAGCCAAGGTAACCCTGACGTATTGTCCATACGAGGTGGACAGAAAGAACTTTGTCGCACCAGGAAATTATGTGGTTTATGTTTCAAAGATGCTTCTCATACCGTGTGTGTTTGTGGCTCTGAAGGAGGCGCTGCAGAAGGTGCAAATTCTGCCAGAGTCAGCAAGAAGCAGCCTGCTGGTCATGCTGGACAGACGGACATACTGGTGCATCTCCAGACAGAGATGCTGGGGGGTCCCGATCCCAGTCTTCTACCATAAAGAGACCGGGGAGCCTCTCCTCACCAAGTGCGCTGACACCACACACAACTGAATTTCTATACGCTAGTTCAAATGTGTCAAACTCAAGGCCCATGGGCCAAATGTGGCCCTCGTTGACATCTTATCAGGCCCCCAAGATGATATGTGAAACGTAAAATACTTTTATCTCTTTAATTTTTTCAGTAAACTTTGGTTATGATGTCGAAAGCACAACAGAGAACATCAAATGAGACCAATCAAACTCTTGTTGAGGAACCTGTGACCAAGAAAAGATGCTGGGTATCTGATTTGAGTTAAATGTAGGTTTTGAAATTGGCCCTTAGTTTGAAAAAGCTTTTAAATTTGGCCCCCTTTTGTAAATGAGTTTGACACCCCTGTGCTAGTTAAATTGAGAAAGCTCCTTGGATTTTTACTGAAAACTTTACTTTTGGACATTTGTTATGATGTGTAACCATGACAACAATGTTTTTTTTTTTTACAACCGGAGCAGCTAATTAACATCTCAAAAGCTCAAATAATACCTCATCTACAGTCCCAAATCCCAATGAGTTGAAAAGGAGGTACCGTGGGTGCATTCCCGTCTACTTGGCGGCGGCGCTCAAGTGCCTGATTGCCGAGATCCTGGAGCTGGTGGGAAACGCGGCTCGTGACAACAAAAAGATGGGGATCATCTCCTGACACCTGCAGCTGTCCGTCCGCAATGACGAGGAGCTCAACAAGCTGCTGGGAGGAGAGACCATCGCTCAGAGAGGAGTTCTGGCCGGCATTTGGGTGGTCCTGCTGACCAGGAGGATCGAGAGGCCCGCCGGGTCTGGGTGGACAGATCGGCATCTGCAGCCATATTCTTTAGATCCACTGCGGGAATCCTTCCTGCCCACAGCCATCAACATCTGTAACAATTCATTAACAAAACCAGGATGATGAGCTACAACATGCCATTTCCCTTTGGGATTAGTAAAGTATTGAATGGAATTTTCTCAAATTTGAACTTCTAAAATGTCAAATCAACACGAGTGCTTCTCTTTCAAACGAGCAGTTAGGATGCTGTACCCCGAACGCAACGTTTCTGCACAGTTTCTTTTTGATATGTAAAAACCCTCGCATGCAAACTAACCTAAACTCTTTTTGTCTGTTCTCTGAAGACACACGGTGACCCACATAGCAGAACTCTTCAAAGACAAAGGCAGCAACTGTTGGTGGGAGCTTCCCATCGAGGCTTTGCTTCCCCCTGAAGTCCTTAAGAAGGTGAGATAATGAGTTCACGTTTGGGTTCAGTTGATGTTTCAGACAGCCACTCATATTTGTAGTGATTTGTAGTAGAAAAACTGTCTGTAATGACCTTTTCAAAGCACAGTTTGTGCTCTATGAGAGGGGAAACACCAAAAAAAAAAAAAGCTTATTTACCTTTCAATGGTTGAACATTTGATAAAAAATTGGGATAAAATGACGAATCCAGAGGGAAAGGAGAAAACGTCTAGTATTTCTGATTCATATAAATTTTACATCTGTAAGATACAATAAGATGGGTTTACATTAATTCATCTGTAAATATTTGTGTTTTATCAGAGTAAAGCAGGACCAGTGAGTGACTACGTTCGAGGAGAAGACGTTTTAGACATCTGGTTCGACAGTGGAGCATCATGGGCAGCTGTACTCGAAGGTACCACTCATACTTCTTTAGTTTGTCCTGGTTAGACCAAATACAAACTGATGTCTTTACAGTGCAGGCGAATGTTAAATAACAGTTAATTATTATGGAGGGATGACAATGATGTGTATGAGGCAAAGATCTGGGTGTGTTGTAATTTCCAGAGGAGATGGAGGAGGATACAGGATCTTCTCCAAGCACATTGCTTCAGATAAAACTGGATTTCTTTTTCCCAGGATTGGTTCAAACGTTGTCTCTCTTTGCTCTAACCTTTTGTAGAACGATTCAGGTTGGGTTGGATTCTGAGTCTCAGTCTTGATAGTAGAAAGTAATCTTGCGGACTTTAGTCTTTTTGTGATTAAATGATTTTTAAAGTCTCAGATAAACTTGTTTTTAGCTGTGTTTGGTCTCGGTCATTTCTTGACTAACAGCATTTGGTATTTCTTGTCTTCTTCCAGACACTTTGCTTTTTCTGGGCTCATATGAACCATCATGGTTCTAGTCAGTGATTTGACACATTTGACCTCCTCCTCTGCTTCTTCGTAGAGTCTGACTCCAAAGCAGATTTGTACGTGGAAGGAAAGGACCAACTGGGAGGCTGGTTTCAGTCGTCGCTACTCACCAGCGTTGCAGTCAGAAACAAGGCACCTTATAAGTAAGAGTGTCATCTACATCCTTTATGTTAATGTGTAAATATGTTTTAATTTAAGCATTATCATCAGTGTGTGCTGCATAATTGTTCATTGTTCTTGCACCAAAGAAAAGTGTTGCTTATTTCCGTGTAATGTGTTTTAGGTCTCTGGTGGTTCATGGCTTTGCAGTAGGTGAGAAGGGAGAAAAGATGTCCAAGTCTCTGGGAAACGTTGTAGATCCTGATGATGTCATTAATGGAACAAAGGTGAGCCTGGAAAAACAAAACAACAATAAAAAATAAAATAAAAACTTTTGAGAGTTTAGTATATTTCAAGGTACTATTTTTGTTAAAGTGGATCATTTAGTTTTACCTAATAAAATTATTAAAATGTGATTTTTTTGTTTTGTTTTGTGTGTTAGATCTTTACATAAAATAATAGTTGTGCCAAAAAAAGTAAAAGAAGTAAATGACAAAAACGAAGCTATTTATTTACTCATCTTCCAATCATTTACATATTTATTAACACAATTTCCTGAAAATGTAACAAGATTTTTTTTTTTATTATGCTGCTTGAATTAAATTCATTTTTTTATTTTCTAAAGTTAGTCTATATAGAAGCTGAAAATCTTTTTCTTTTCTGCTTGTTTCTGCAAAATAACTGTAAAGGGGTTTGAAAAGATACATATTTAGGTTTTCTGTAGTGTAAAATTTTCATTACTTTAAAGGTATTTGTTTTATTTATTCTGTATTTTTGTTGTTTTCAGATTGGTTCTCTTTGGTGTTTTAGTCATTCCACATAAAGAAAACTTCAAAAAGTTAAAACTAGGATGGAGAACGCAACAAACAAAATGATTAATTACGTCATCTTCCTCTCGTGTCTCTTCCTCTTATCAGGACGGTCGTTTACCGGCTTACGGGGCTGATGTGCTTCGTTGGTGGGTGGCAGAATCAAATGTGTTCTCCGAAGTCCAAATTGGACCCAGTGCCCTCAACTCAGCCCGAGACAGCATCAGTAAGGTACCACAGGAGAACGGACACAGCAGCGCAGTTTTTCTTACAGCGACTCACTTCTTTCAGTTCTTTTCCCTCATCTTTTTCTCTGTGAATTGTTTCCCAGTTAAGAAACACACTCAGGTTCCTGCTTGGAAACCTTCAGGGCTTCGACCCACAAGTGCATGCTGTGGACCCCCAACAGATGTACTACATTGATCAGTACATGCTGCACCTGCTCCGCGAGTACAGCATGAAGGTGTGTTTAAGTTGGTCTCACACAGTGTTGCTTTGATTTGTTCATTCATCACTCAAAATGTTTATTAAAGGAGACAGACTTTTTTTTTTCCCCATTTGCTAAGATACGACAAGTTTTTAGTTAATATATAAAATAACCTCCTTTTAAATTTACCGTAATTTCCAGACTATAAGCTACTACTTTTTTCACAGGCTTTGAACCCTGCAGTTTATACAATGCTGCGGCTAATTTATGGATTTTTTTTTTTTTTTTTTGACGGACTAACGAGCTCCCTGCTGCTGAAAACATCTAACTTCGTCACACCTGGGTGCTCACATAGCTTCCCAGTACATGTCTCTCTTGGGTGGTGGGTCCTCCTGACACAAAGAGACTACTTGTATAAATTAAGGTTAAGAAAAAAGACCTATGAAATTACCAAACAGTTCAGACAACAGGATGCTCTGCAGAGCACAAGCTTGCAGCAGGAGGAATGTGAAGATGGCGATCAATGACTTCCTGGTAGGCTACTGTATTTTTTCGACAACGAAAGAGACTGAGGACGTGTGATGGAAGATTTTCTGAGGCTGTTCAATTCTGACACTGAAAAAGACAACTTTAGTGGTTTTAGTGCACAGGAGGCAGATGAACGTAGCAAAAGCGACTTTTCCTGGTAAACTATTTTATTTATTTAATCAGCCGCGTTCAAGGCATTGTTCAGGAAAAAAATAAAATTACTGTACGTATTTGTGTATGTTACCGGAACGTATTTAATTAAGTTTTAAAAAAATCTTGCTGTGTAAATATCTCATGTTGCATCGTGAACACCCGTGGCTTATACACAAGCGCGGCTTATACTTGGGTGTGCTCTGTAGTCCAGAAATTACGGTATACAAAAATCTGGCTCCTTGAAAGGAAAATATTAAGAAATGAGGGCAGGTGGAAGATGTTTGCCCAACGGTTTGTACTCCAAACCTTTTTCCAGTTTAGACTGGAGTAAGTGCATCACTGAACGATGTGTGTGTTCAGGTTACGGATGCTTACAGTGAGTTTGATGCTGGCAGAGTCATCCGTGTCCTCCAAGCCTTCATCACCAGAGACCTTTCCAGCTTTTACTTCAGCATCATTAAAGACAGGTAAAACCTAACCAAACCATAAGATACACAAACATCTAGCCAATTCTGCCGTCACCTGCCTCTTGTTTATGTCCCTAACCAGGATGTACTGTGATCCGGAGGACTCATTGGGAAGAAGATCGTGTCAAACTGCTTTAGAGGAAATTCTGGACGGTGTGACCAGATCTGTCGCTCCCGTCCTGCCTCATCTAGCAGAAGAGGTCTATCTGCATGCACCAGGACATGCCAGTACGTTCCTGTTGGTTGTGTAGTTGTAGCTTTACAACGTAATATATAGTATTTGCTTGCTTGCTAATATATTTAATGTTTACAGAAAAAGAGACCTTATTTAAAAGTGGGTGGATCAAAAGCAGCTCTGTGTGGAGACGACCAGGATTAGAGGAGGCTGTGGAAGGAGCTTGTGCTATCAGAGACTCCTTCCTGTCTTTGATCCATGGGAAAAACATCAGTCAGTATGACCTCACAATCGCCATCGAACCCGGCCTTTTGTTTGAGCTTATGGAGGTAAGAAGTCTGAGTCGAACTAAACAACTGCGTTAGTTGGAAGCTACTGCGAAAGACTGACGGAGGGGAAAAACTCCTTAATTTTTACCTTCTAGTCTCTCCAAGAAGAGCCCACCTCCACTACTTCTCAGCTAGCTGAGCTAATGATGGCAGCACGGGTCAACCTGACCAATAAACTGCCCCGCGATCTGCACCCAGACGCCCCGGTGAGCCACGGGACCTTCCTCATCAATCTGGAAGGTGAGGGAAAATAACAGCTGTGGTATTAAAAAAAGATCAAACATTTCCTAGCATTTTTCTTCCATGTTTGATAGATTTTGATGCCTGGCACTCGTTTCGTCCTCCACGTGTTCAGTTTCTTTTTAAAAGAAACAAAAATGTGCCAAGTTCTATTTTAATTACTACAGATTTTAAAGATACTAGTTTGACTTACTGATAGCAAAATATAACAACAAAGATTTGCATAAAAGTAAACAAGGTACCGCAACGCTTATAGTTAGTAATCGAAGAGTTTATTTTTGGCAGCATCTTTTTTTTTCTAGTTTGAATTAGCAGTAAACATGAACTCAAAAGTATTTAAATCAGCTTGTACCTCACAGCAGTGTGTGTGTTTGTGGATTAGGTGGGGTCATTCGTGAGGACAGCCCCTACAGTATCGCCGTGATGCCCGCCTCTGCTGCTCGCTGTCCACGTTGTCGCCGCTACACAGCAGAGTCCGCGGACTGCCTCTGCCCGCGCTGCCACACCATGATCTCACAGGCTCACTGACACGCCTGTCACCATGGCAACCAACACGCAACATCCTCAGCAAGAAGCTTTTATTTATTTTTTAAGCTGGTTAGAGATTGACTAAGCTGCTACCCTGGTCACTGCAAGCTAGCTGAATCCACAGAAGGGTCTACAGTAAAATACACGACAGACATCAGACCATACAGTCTCAAACTATTTAACATGCTAATTTTTCTTCAGGTTCAGGTGTTAACTGTAAAACCAAAATCGTCTTCTATTCGAAGCATGTGGAAGGTTGTTTACTGTAAATACTGTTGGGAAGTAAAAACAGGCTTTTTTAGTGTAAAATGGACGGGAACTTTTTATGTTGATGCATAATGCACTACGAGTGTCACTATGTGACAAGTGAACTCGACGGAAAAGAAAGTGTTGACTTCCTGTCAAAATGATCTTTGTAAAATAAAATATCTGTTCATTTTTTCCCCCAGAAATTCAGATCGATTCTGACGCAGAAATGAATCTGCATTTGGAGGCAGAAGCATGAAAACAAAAATAAACCGCAAAACTTTTGAGAAACCTCTTTATTCTGTTCGAGCCCAGTTGAAGCAGCTGGACATGGAGTTACAGAATATCAGGTGGACGGGTGGTGCAGATACTTACAGCACTGTCTGCCATTATAAATAAAAACAAGTTCCTTATTTCTCTGATACATCTTGGTTCTATGTGAGATAGAAGTGAATGATATAACTAACATGGCACACAGGACAATGATTTAAAGTCAAAATGTGAGCGAGAAATGAGCTGGAATAAGAATCTCAAACGCATTCTGACTACAACAGAAATATTCATTATGATTAATGCTACATGCACAAAAATATGACTTTAAAAAAGTTAAAAGCCACTCTTTAACACTGCCCTCAAATTCATATCAACATGATTTAAGCAACACAAAGTCTGTTAAGGGTATGAGAGGCCTTTTTCTCTTTAATGAGAAACGCTCATGTTTTTTTCCGTTTGTGCAAAGTCAATGAAAACTTCTCTGTTGCCTTCACAGAGATCAATCAGTGGAGAGGACATCCACCGCTTCCAGGAGGTGCAGAGCCAGGGTGTACTGTGCGTGATTCTCAGGCAACATTTCAATCAGTCGACTCACTAACCGGCTGGTTTGGGTCAGAGGAACCAGAGGGCACCGCAGCTCACTGGGGTCCTGCAGCACACACACAAAAAAAAAAATCACATTTCATAAAACTTGAGCAGCTTTCTATAAACTATGATGAATAAAAATGAATTTTTTAATTTAACTTTGATGTTCAGAAAGGAAATACTTTTGAATGCTACAGATTAAATCTGTTTTCTCCTTTAAATCCATATCATCCCTCCAAAGTTCAATGCAACGACTTTAAAATACGATGCCACACATTTCCAATTTGCCACCAGCTCTTACGCTGCGTGTTTTTTACTCAAACGTAGGTGTGGCTTTTCGTGGCCGTCGTGGTGCTGTGCTTATTACCATAGCTTTGAGCCATGTGCAGAGGGTGGGGGGCAGTCGTGCCAGCAGCTCCATGGCAGCCTGGGTCTGATTCTGGTTGTGGAGCAGAGAGTAGCTGAGCCTCTGACCGGTCAGCACCAAGAGCTGAGAGCCCAGAACATCCTTATCTTCTACCTCTAACACGACCTGGACATTACAATCACACAGGGGGGGTCAGCAATTATTGTCACATTTAAAAAAAAAAAAAAAGTCTTGGGTCCTTTATAGTTATTTACACAATATTTTGCCTAAAAATAATAATAATAAAAGAGAAACAGCCATTTTAACATGTGAAAACAAACAACACCACTGTATGTTGATGTTAATTTTATATATATATAAAAATGTATATAAAAATGTAAGTATTTCCACTAAAACATTCTGGAAACATTCTGGAATCTAGGAGCCTTTTATATATATGAACGATTCTCAGATGCAAACTAGAAATAAATCCTAATCTACTGCCACATTTTAGAACAAAACTCAGTTTGTGTATGAACAGTTAGTGTCCTGTACCTGTTCAGCTCTCAGGTCCAGGCCTTGGTTGTAGAGCTCACAGACGAGGTGGCGTCGGAGGATGTCGGGGTTGACCTGCAGCAGGGAGCCCAGCTCCAGACACAAGGAGGGCCACCAGTCAGCTTTAGGTCCAGCAGAGGGAAGTGGGGGGGTTGAGCCAGGGGCCAGGGCTGAGCTGGAAGGAACATCTATAGCCTGCACCCACGCAGACAGTACCCGGAATAGAAACTGAAGAGGGGAAATAAAGAGACAGATTCAGAGCACAGCTTTCCTTTTGTCTTTGACATTTCATTTCATGCTCTACCTCTTTTCGCTGCGAGATCAACGTAGGGTCCATGTCTCCACTGGGCAGCAGCTGGATGGTTGTCAGATCTCTGAAGAAAGCATTTTTACCCTACGACATGAACAAAATGAATCTGGTGCAAACGTCGACCACGAGGACGGTGTCGAGACGTGGAGTTGTGTTCAGGAGACGTTCTGCTCACCTTACTGTCAAACAGGCTGAGTGGTTTGACTTTGACGCTGAAGCTCATGGCAGCATGTAGCAGCGAAGCTAACAGGCAGTGGTGTTGGACCAGAGGAAAGTGAATGCCTCGTTGGTCCAAGGCGAGTTCAGCTATGGACGCCGGGCCCTCAGCTCCACTCCACACCTCCTCGACAGACAGCTCAGGAGCAGGAACCTCCTCTGTGGCAGAATCTGCCTGCAATATAAACCTGCTTTAGTAATGGCAGCCATATTATTAAGCAACTAATAGAATACCAAATTAGAGCAGCGTGCTAAAAATCCAACACCTCATGCATTCTTGGCTTAAAGTGTAAGCTCACAACTCATTTCCTTTAATGCCAGGCACTGGCCACTCTCCATGCTTTGCTCTGCACTCATTTTACTTACATAAAAAGGGAAAAAAGACAAAGAGCTCTGATTCTTAACCAATAACTCAGTCACCTCCATGAGGATCTGCAGCAGCTGGACACAGCAGCCCAGGAAAGATGTCATGGCTTTGTCTCCCATCCCAACATCCTGCTCACAAACACACGACTTCTCAGTCACAGCAACTTAACCATTCATAAATAAGGTCGAAATAAATCTGCTAATCTGGGAGGATTGTTACAAACTCACTCGTCGACATAAGCGATCTTTGGGAGCTTTCCCCACCTTGAAAGAATAAAGAGCATAAATTCGACATGAAGCAGAAAATGAAATCCTGCTACAGATGCAGCCTGTGTACGTGCATGAATTTACCTTCTCTATGAGGTAAGAAGCTGCTGAGAAGCGCTTTACGATAAATGTGCTCCACATCATAGAGGAAATACCTGCAAAAATAAAATACAATCAAGAAAGGTAAAATGTTGCTTTGGCAAAACCATGACTGCTGCTATTACAAAAAGACATTGGACAGTTTAAGACTTGAGCATTGTATTAGAAAAGTTACTCACCTAGTTGGATGTGAGGACTGGAGATGAGCTTTAAATGTTCCACAGCACAGGATAAATATTGAGGCTCCTTTAAAAATAAAACGAAACATTACCAATGTTGTAGAGTGTTGAATATTCATTCAATCACTCAGTCTTTATTAGGAGAGACAAAAACAAGCATAGGGCCATAAAAACTTTTTGCTGTGCACTTGTTGTTTTTTTAAATCAACACATTCAGTTGTGAAAGTTTTAAACAGTCTGAGGAAACACCGATAATCTCTAATCAGCTAAACCAAAGCTTTAAAGTGTAAAAACTATAACAAGGTCATAAATAGACATAAGCCTTAAACATTTACATTTTATTCTAAAACTACTTGCTAACCAATAAAGTGCCATTAAAACCGGAGTCGTGTGTTCTTCTGTTTCTTTAAGGGGGGGGCTCACTGCAGCAGTTCAAACCTGATTGAAACAATGGAGGACTTTCCTGTTTGTAAAAGTTAAAAGTATGTTGCGATATTCCAAAGAAAAGGAAATTATAGCAATAATCAGTTAGGGCTTTGAGACCAGCCTTCTTGTTTGTTTAAAATAAAGGTTGAACAGCTGTTTGGAGTGAATCTGATGTTTGAGATGTAGAAATCTTGATCTAATGTTTGCATTGTTGCCGTGTTTGTGCACCTCTGGGTCTTTGTTCCACTGGACTACATACTCCCAGCAGCAGTGGGCAAAAAGCAGGTCAGGAGAGAGGGAGTGTGGGAACCGCTGACATACTGCCACCAACAGCTCTAGGAAAGCATCCAAGAACAGAAACAAGCACATTCAATGGGTCATTTAATATGTAAATATAAGCAACGACTGAGAAACAGGTTGAAGGTCTTCGCAAGGTGTCACCTGCTGTCCTGTCTGTGTCCTCTTGGCTCTTCTTCTCCTCAGTTTCCTCCTCATTCTGCTCACGCTTTTCTAAAGCTTCTTTCCTCTGAAGAATTTCCTTCAGTCGCTCTGGTGCCATGTTTTGCCTGAACGCCCACTTGGAAACACTGTCAGCAACGCCACCTTAACAGACACATTTATACAGGAAAACGGCAGCTCTTATAAACCCAGTGTATTTTTTGTGTTATCTTTTCCTTTTTGTTGTTGTTTTTTCAGATACATGCATTCAGAGTTTATTGTACTTTACACCTCACCTGTTCCTCCTTCCAGCAGTGTTTTGATGGAGCACTGAACTGCAGCGCCCCCTGCTGTTCCCTGAGGAGAAGGTACCAGTAGGAGAGTCTGGAGCACCAGAACATCCTCCAGCTGGTGAACACACACCACCCACTGCTCCAGCTCCAACGACACGGTCTCCCACTCCGACTGCAGCTGTCACAAACACAATAGAAACTCCTCACTGTCCTTTTAATGTTGCATAATATCAAAACTGCTCATCCATTTTTGATGCCATGCACACTTTGGTGACCTTGCTATCAGCTCTGCTGGTGATGCTGGCCTTGGCGGCACGGTGAGCGACTAAAGCAGCCAGCAGCGCAGCTGCAGCGTTGTGGGACTGGGTGCATGTGCATCGGACCTGCTGCCACCAGGGACACACAGACTGTGGGTCCCATGAATCCTCAACTGCACCTAAAACACAAAAGAAAAATAAATATGATGTTCAAACGGTTACAAAGAAAACTTTAGTTTCTTGTCTTTTTTTTTTTTTGCTGGCTTTGTTGGAAAATACAAGGTTAAGAAGACAAAAAGAAAAATTTGCAATAAAAAAAAAACTTGTTACAAATAGAATCACCATATAGTTCATAGTAATCAACGAAAATATAAAATATAACTTGATAATAAGAAGTACAAAGTTACAAAACTGAAATTTGTTTTCACCAGCTCTCATGTTTATTTACATCAGTCCTTCTCAAATAGTGGGGCGTGCCCCCCCCCCCCCCCCCCGCCCCCCCCAATGCCAGGGGCACATGTGACTCTGAGGAACACGCTTTTTTTGCTGCAGGGAGTAATTTTTTTTCCCCACCATTCTCATTTTGTCTCGTGCTTTCCGGCAGCTGTATCTCTCAGACTTACTAATAATAAAGTTATGAACAAATAACTGTCTTGTCGTTTTGGGAGCCATGCATGAACCGTGTCGCTCCCCTCTGCGGCTGAAACGATAAATAAACTCCGACACGTCCGCTGCATGTGTTTTACGTCCATGCGCTCTGGACGTCACTCACAGCGCGCATGCAACAAAGAGTAAACTCAAAGCGAGAGCGACACCTGCCCCCGCTTTCCTCTTTCGCATTGACAAAATGTTTAAGTTTTATCGATGAGTTTGTCAAAGCACGATTTACAGAAGTAACGTTTAATAAATGTTATGACTCTATTCTTTTGTAACTAAATATATTCACCTCCTCAGTTAAGCTGTTTTTTTGATGCTCTGGACGCTTGTCACTCGCCAGAGAGTAAACGCAAAGCGAGAGGGTTACCTGCTCCCTCTTTTGCGTTGACAAAATGTTTAGTTTTATCGATGAGTGTGCTCAATGATCCTGACTCTCATTTTGATTTAAAAAAAACAGCACAAAGTGTTTTATTCATTTTTGTTTTGTAGGCCAAAGTGTTTTATAAAACACTCCTGAGTTAAAATGTTGCTGATCAATTTGAATTTATTATTATTCATTGGTTACATTTTATTTTATTTTTCAGTATCAAATGGTCAGAAATGTTTAGTTTAAATAAGGATTTAAGTGTTTTTTTTTTCAGGCAAATTGATACAATTTAAGTTGTTTCTTTTACAAACTAAAAAACAATGTTAATAAAGTTATTCTTCGTTGTAAGTTGATCTATATTCTTGTTTTTCTTTAATGTTAATAGGGACACAATGATATGCAGAGGTGGACTTACAACAATTTTATAGACAAATGATAATTATTTAGTCGCAGAGGAGAGTTAGGGGGGCGCAAAATGTTTCGTCTTCCTGGGGGGGGGGGGCGTAATAGAAAATAACTGAGAAGAATCGATTTACATGAATCCCAATCAGAAAAAACGCAGAGCATCACGTTGAAGAGGAGCTAACTAAGAAACTAATGAAGTAAGAAAAACTCAACTAGACCTCTTGAATCTTCTTTTCATTAAAATGAATTGATATGAATTCATACAAGGTCAATGAACGAATTTTATCAGTTACACAAAGTAAAACGCATACATTAAATACAAATACCAACCTTTCATGTTGCTAAGAGCAACAAGTAGTGTGTGTAGGTTTATAACCGTCTCCACAGGTTTCTGCAGCACTTCCTTTTCCCTTTGCAGCCACACACTCAGCAGCAAAGACTAAGGAACGAGTCAGTGAGTAAATAAATCAATCCCCAAAAAGCTAAATGACATGTTAGATTAGCCATTCCTTATCAATGTATAATCACAACACAGAAAGTACATATAATCAACATGTATTAGTCATGTTCTTGAACTTCTTTCCTACAGTATGTTTGCATCTTACCAGTAGTTGCTGTGGACTGATACCAGCCTCTTGAAGTGTCTCACAGACTTTATGGATCGGGCTTTTACAACATAAACAACCCCAGAACATAAAGTTTCCTGCAAAGGACACACAGGAAAGTCTTCAGTCTGGAAGTGAAAAAGGAGGCTTTGCTTTTCTTTAACGCACACACTGTGTACTCATTTCTGCACATGCTACAGTACGGTGCGTGTTAGCAGATGGGTAAACATCGTCTCACCTAGTTGGTTCCACTCAGCTTCAGACTTGCGAATCACCTTCACCTCGCCGTCCTCGGTACACTCCAGCTGTGAGAGAAAAGCCTGGGCGGAAAGGGGAGTGTCCGGGGAGTCCTGAGCGAAAGAAACGCTGGGTTTTGAGGTGAACTGAGCGTAGCGTTGCAAGGTGGGCGCGACACGGGACAACTCTTCCTCTATGCCTTCCAGAGACTCATGCTGGAAGCACATGAAACATATTAGAGAACAAGAACTCCTGATTCTGGCTGCGTTACAACCAAGATGTTTTTGTTTCTTAATGTTTGTGTGGATGTACATTTTCTGAGCAGGCCTCGGTGTTTTCATCAGACTGATGCTGCTGCACATCAGAGTAGAGCTGAAGCAATTTCAGCTGTGCAAAGCAGAGCTGAAGTAACGAAGGGTCCACTTCGTCTGCAGCTGAAGCACAAATCGAAACAGAATATCGGCTGGAAGGCTTTTCAATGTAGAAACTTTACATGTTTGAATAAATATTGTTTAATTAAGTTAAAAAATTAAGTCTAAGAACAAGTTTTTTCCTTTTTTTTTATTTCTACCTTGTTGCTTCAAAGCATCATGTAAGGCACATGTAACATTTGTAAGACAGGAAACAGGAGTGTCCTTATTTGACAGCAAAGTCTCCAAAGCCTAAAAGAAATGGAGAAGCTGGATTTAGATCGGTGTCTGTAAAATACATATTTACAGATGTCTTATCTGTTTAATGGAGTGGTAGTACTATCACTTTTTACTACCTGCTTCTTAATGGCAGGGTATTTAATTTCCAACAAGACACTTTTTGCTTCGCTCTCCAAAGTTTCTGCGAAGAAACATTAAAAAGGTAAACTGAGCAATAGATCATTGTGCTGTGGTATCTTAAGTTGTCACAAGTCTCTACCAGGATCCACGTCGCTCATCTTCAGCAGAGCAGTCAGCCTCTTTAAAAGGTGCATGTCTTTGGCTCGTTCGTTCTTTTTGTCACTGAAACAACAAAAAGGCAATAACATGATGGAAATATGTGCTATTTTCAGTATTTTTAACGTCTTTTAAAAGCACAAGTGGATGTAATTTTAAGGTTTGAAAATATCTGCAGTGTGAAAGTATAGCACTGTGCTCTTTCCATCCATCATATTTACAATCCTGACATGTTACCCACCTGAGGGCTAAGTGGAAAGGGACGTTGATGGTTCTCAGAGCTCCTGTGGTGGGATCCAGCAGACACACCTGCTGCGTGTGGAGCTGCCAGCCCTGACTGGTCACACTGTTCACCCCCATCAGACGGTAGCCAGCATAAAGCAACCTGAAAAAACATGCCCACTTTAAAAATGAATACATTTTTGTCTGTAATCCTCACACAGGAAACCGAACAAGAAGTGCTGTTTACTTTTTGATGCTACTTTACATGTTCAATGTGCGAACCTGCATTGTTTTCCCACAGTGAAAGCGCCGACTCGAGGGCCCCGCTGCATGGCCCACACCTCCAGGATACCCCTGCGGGGGGCGAAGATGATGAGGAACAGAGCATGACGTCTGGGGAGGGAAGAAGAGGGGGAGAACTCCCGATCACCACGTTCTTCTTGAACTTGAAGCCAACCCAGCTGGGCGTCTCTGTAACCTAAAGTTAAATCAATGGCACACACACACACACACACACACATTATGATTTCACAAGTGAGTTTCAATATATAGGCAACATGTGATCATTTAAAGTGTTATGCGTTTTGACCCAATGAAGATGTTTAAATATGTTTTTAATTGAATTTAAGATAAGCCTTTAAAAACTGGACAACATCATTTTATATGGTAATTTTTTTGTGCTGGCTCTTATCTCAGTTTCCCCCCTCACCTTTCCACATGCGGATGGCCAAGCCTCTAGCCAAGTCCAGCAGCGTCACTCGACCAAAGTCGTCTGTGACTCCAGCGAGCGTGTTGCATGGAGACAGACATATGGACTCGCCGTGGCGCCGGGAATCTGGCAGACCAAACCTGGAGGGCAAAGGTCAGGTTTAAGGACATAAACATTCTGTTACTGATATGATTATGTTCACTTGTAGAGCGCTGCTTGAGCATGAAAAGTACCTGATTCCTAAGGGGGTTGCAGGCTCCACTTTGGGCTTCTGTTTCTGAGCAGCTTCCTCTTCATTCTTGTTTTTATTCTTGTTCCATCCTAACCATCCACTAAGAGCAAAACAAAGAGACAAAAAAGCCTGAAAAAGTGAGGCTTCTGTAGTAAAACTAAAACTAATAAAATATAATACAAACAAGAAAAATGATGCAAATAATAAAAGAATAAGAGATCGGTGAAATGGCCCCAAAATGCCAATTTTAGCATTTTTAAACAGAATGTTACATTTTCTACAAATATTACTTCTAATTATGATCTGATTGGGATTTTTCAAACTGCTGAAAGAAAAATCAGCAGTTGCTAATATTAAATACTGATCACATGATCCATCTGATTTATAAATGTGATATTCACTTGTTTGTATTTTGGGTTAACTATTAAGTCTCGGATATAAAAAACAAAATTGGATTTTAACTACTGTTAATTTAATGTCTGCTAATTCCCATGCACAAGCATTTCACACACACACATGTCCAAACCTGGCAGCACTGAAGAGAGCTGAGGTGAGTTTACTGGCCACAGCCAGAGCTACATGGGACAGAAGAGGCTGAGAGTTTCCCTGAAGACATAAAAAAAAGACACAACAAAAAGCTCAATTTGATGGAAACTTCTCTTTTACACAGACTTCTGTAAACCATGTGCAGAAACAGAAAATACTTGATGTTTAATAATTTCTTACGCTCACCTCCACAGCATAGTAAAAGCCCGTGAATGGTCCAGCTCCTACAGTGACAAACTGGCTCATGGCAGGGGGGCTGCCTTTTACTGAAGCATTAAACCCACCCAGGATAGATGCATTTTTCATTTGGTCAAACACACACAGTGTTGTAATGCCTAAAAGCAGAACACACAAAAAGTCCAATCTATAAACAATGAAAAAATATGAAATCACAGTGTAGCTTCTTGAGCTCAAGTATTTTTTTCTTCACATTTCTTAACACATACAAAAGCAATAAAATACAACTTCAAATAACTAGGATCCTAAAGACAAACCTTAAATTTTGATCATCATTTTTGTGAACTATGTCTTACCCACACTACTGTGGTCAACAATGGTGTCTTTCTCCTGCAGGCCCCACTTTTTGTAGGCCAGAGGTGGAGGTGGGACAACATCACTACCTGCTGCTGCAGCTGCACAGAACGACAGAAGAGCAACAACTTCAGTGCAACACTTAAATACTTCAGCAAGCTTTGTTGGCACGCGTTGCATGTAGCTTCATTTAAAAACTATAGAACCGTCTCCAAAGAACGAGAGCCAAAATTTAGGAAATAAAGTATCTTTCCTCAGATTGAGAAAAAAAACTTTACAAAAATGCTGCCCTGGTTTCCCATCTGTTGTGGCAGCAAAAAGCTCATAATAGGACACTGCAACATTCACCATTGTTCTCTACTTGAAAACCAGTTAAATTAATCTAGACTATGAGCAACTCATCATCTCTAAATGTGTAACAACTGAGACATTCTGGCGACTAATCTCTCAAAGCTCTTTTGTTTGTGGTACACACAAAAAATCCAGCTGTCTCAATAACACCTGAATGTCCTGTAGCAATAACTATCCACTCAGCCAGCAAGAGAAAAACACATCTTCAGTTAACACGATGTGAACGCACATTCCACATTGATACAGACTAACGCGTATGAACAGCAGTACCTCTTGCCACCTGGTTCCTGCAGGCACGCAGCGACTGAAAGAGACTGAAGCCATCTATGGTGACCAGAGCAAAAGGGTAAAGGATGCTAAGCTCCTCATGCTGCAGAGGAAGATAATCTGTTGTTAAACATCTTAAAACTGAATTTTTCTTCTTCTTTTGATGTGTGTTCAACAAGCTATGAACCAATCGCCACATACATTATATTCAAATCAATTCCTAAAGCTCAATAAACTCTTTTAAGAAGAATAATTAGGGTTGTGAAAACTCAATAAACCTCTAACTGATGAGTGTGGTTGGTGCGTTACCTGTTCGGTTACACCAGGATGACGAGGAATCTCATACGTGCGACATTTGAGCTTCAGCACAGGGTCCACATGCAGCAGCTGCGCCAGAAGCAGAACCCCGTTCTGATAGAACAGACACACCACCATTCTCATTTTGTAGGACATACTGGTTTAAACTAGTATTAATGTTGTGCTAAAACAAGAAAGTACCTCTGTGTAGAAGCGAACGTAACCCGATGTGAAGCCCACAACTACGCATGTCCAGTCAGGTCGTCCGGTGGAGCTCCTTATACACAGAAAAACAAAAAAAATACAATAAATATTTTGTTCTCACAATAAAATCTAATTCATGTATTTTTCTCACCTTTTTTGGCTGGCTAGGGGGATAGCAATGACGCTGCTCACACTCTCTCTGGAGAGAAAAACATGCACAAATATTTTATTTCTTGTGTGTGAAATGATTTTGCATTGCATGTATTAAAATGCATGCTTGTGGGGGGGGGGACGCAGGAATTAATCTTTAATAACTAAAAAAGTGAAGCTGACAAGTGGAGCCATAAAATGTCTGTGCTTCATATTTTCTGCAACAGAATAAATGGAAGAACACATTAAATGTAAGAAGACTGCTTTTTGTGGTTGTAAGATTTACATATATCACGCTGTCTTAACTTTTGTTTATTTTTTAGAGTTCTATTTATAGTGCATAGGTAAAGATGGTTTCACAATTTTCAGCTGTTTTTCCTTAAAGTCATGAAATCCTCTGTTGGCTTTACATCCTCTCTCATGCTCTACATCATCTTCTCACCGTTCTTCAGCGCTGAGGGTTCCAGACCAAGACACAGACAGAGTCATTTCCTCCTTGCCGCTGCCATCTGTGCGCCACTTAGCTGAAAAAAGTAAGTAAATAACATGACGAGCTAACATCTCAAGAGACTGAGAGCTGTGTGAGTCAGTCTGAATGGCTGACCTGACAGAAAAACAGCCTTCTGTTCTCGAGCCACCACCAGCAGGTCGGCGCAGGGCGACAGGGACACAACACAGTCCTGGAGCCAGGGTTCACTCTGCACTGAACTCTCCTCCTCTACCTAGAGGAGCGTCAGAAGTTTAGATCTGCACCAGGCCGCCACTAATCAACTGCTGGTTCAGTTAGTAGACTCTTGTCAGATTCTTTAGGAATTATTTTGGCATTTTCCCCTAAAATTTAAATATTTACTACTCCCGTTGTCCATCCAACTTGCCCTTGATTTAAAGTAATTTATTGCTGAATGCTATGAATAAAAGAATAGGGAATCAGAGTTAAACACAAAAACTAACTGTTGTGGCCGAAGATGATTCTTCCTCTTTATTTTCACTACTATCCCATGCTGCTTCCCAGTCAGAGGTATCCCAAGTCAGCTCATTATCTGCTGGAAAAAATAGTTTGTGATGTCAGGCAGAAAGAGGACAGTGCAGATTATGACAAGGCTAGAATTCTAATGGATCCGATCAAATATTGTGGTAAAGATTAATAAATCTCACTGTTTAGTTAATATTAATAATCTTTTCTGATTAATTATTTCCATTTCTTTCATAAAACAAAACAAAAAATGTCACAGCTTGTAGCGAAGGGTGTTAAAGTCATTAAGTTGTCTGTTTCTTTTTAAATCCAGAAACAATATGTAAATGCCTGAAATGAAAAAATAAATAAGTAAATAAAAACTCTGGAGTGATCTTTTGATTTTTAGTCTTTATATTACTCGAATCAATAAAATGCAATGTACCAAACATAACGAAAGAGAACCTGTGGTTGTCTAAAATATTGAAAACACAGTAATTTTATTTTTGCACGATTCAATACAAACAAAATCAATTGCTGTTAATTTTGCAATTCATTCTTCAATCAACGTAAACAAAACAAGTGGCTTATCTGATATCCTAAAAGCACGCCTCATGGCATTTTGTTTTTCCTACTAACATATGTTTGTCTTTCCTGATGTCACAGGTAAATCCTAAAATCCCACAATTCATCCGCTCCAAAACTGTGAGAGCTTTGGGAATCAAGACAAGTCTTTATACCTTAACTCAAATAAGACTCTTCATAATGCACTAGATTTTATCTTGTGCTGTAATTTTACTCTTTTTTTTTTTTTTTAAACTAAGATGCAAAATCTTGGATAAAATTTGATAATTTTCTAAATAAATACATGTAAGATTATATAAACAAATGCATGCTAGTTGAATAAAATACTTCAATGTGTGCCTTTTCTTGCTATTTGTTCAGTTGAGTAGAAATAATGTAAATCCTAGTGTTACAGAGCTGCGATCATTGTAGGCTTTCCAGGTAATAACTTTGATAGAAAAGAATGGCAATCACCAATAAATAACTAGATAAAACCTAAAACATCATGTCAGCTACCCTGTTAGATGTTAAGAGTCAAGTTTAGCAAGGTAGCTACTTCCAGATGTGTCAAAGACACATTGTTGTTCAGACATTTCTTTCTGCAGCGTCCATTAAAAATAGTCTTCTCCTTTTAGCCTTTAGCATCAAAGTTACCCGTTTGGTTCTTCTCCTCAACCGGCTTTGTAGTCTGGTTCTGGAACAAGAAGTCCCGGACCGTTTTGAGCTCCTGGATCTTACAAAACTCAAACAAGCTGCAGGACATCCCTCTCCTATCCAGTCAGGAACCAAGAAGTCGAGGAACCAGACAGACAGTTAGCTTCCCGGCTAACACAGAACCAACGCAGCTTCCGTCTGTTTCCTCGTCCTTTAAGACTTTACGACAACCTGTTCACAAAAACAAAACTTCTTTTCTTGTTCTGTGCAGCCAACTATATATATATTACTATCTCTCCGCTAAGGTTTGTTTGCCCATAAGCTACAGTTCCCACCCTAATGTGTTGATGACACATCATTAGCATAAAAACATTTGAGTGCTTCCGGGTTAGAGCCGCTTTGGTAATTTCAAAATAAAAGCGGGATGCGTCTATTATATTATTATTATTATTATTTGTAATATTAAAGAAAACAACTAAAACAAGAAACGATTTTATAATTATTTTAACAAATTGAGTAATTTTAAGATTTGATAAAGCAAAAACAAATGTATTTGAAAACGTGTAATGTTTTTTTGTCCACAAGAGGGCAGCAGAGCTTTTTAAAGATTGAACCCAATCCCACATTAACTACATTTACAGATTCAGCTTTTTGTTGTTTTATTTTCTGTAAATATGTAAACTTGGACTTTCAGAGGACCACACTGGTTTTTGTTTTTAATCCAAACACAAAGCTTAATGATTCACTGTTTTCAACTGTAGTTAAAAAAGAAAAAATGTTATTAGTCGTTTTCACATGAACATTTTTACACATTGTTTCTCTTTTCAATCAGTGTGTGTTGTATAAATAAAGTGGATAGGGATTAAATCAACTTTTTAAAAAAATGCATGGTCATAACAGCACTAAAACACTGCCTGAACACAGAAAACATGTAGTAAATGAATCACCTTCTATTTGCGTGCTACTTTTAAATAAATAGTTTTTCTAGGCGCTGTTGCAGTTTTAGAAAAAAATAATATAGTAAACAAAAATTCTAAACTTTAAACATCAGTGAACAAATCTAGATAAAATACTTATGGATGCACCAGGCAGGGTCATAGTACGGAGGTAAATCCTTGGAGTTACCAGAAATTTGCTGATTGACTTCCAGCTATTTTCATTATCCAGCATGTATTCTGAAATCATCTCAATTATCCATCCATCCATCCATCCATTCTCCCTTCCTGCTTCTTCCTTTTCAGGTTGTGGGGGTTACTGGTGCCCATGTCCATCAGTCATTGTATGAGAGGCGGGGGACGCCCTGGACAGGTCTCCAGTCCATCACAGGGACACATAGACATAAACAACCATTCACTCTCTCACTCACACCTAGGGACAATTTAGAGTTACCAATCAGTCTAACATGCATGTTTTTGGTCTGTGGGAGGAAACCGGACTATCCAGAGAAACCCCACGCATGTACGAAGAGAACATGCAAACTCCACCTAGAACGGCCCCAAGCCAGGATTTGATCCAGCAACCTTCTCACTGAGAGGAGGCAGTTCTACCCACTGATCTGCTGTGTCAGTTATGTCATTTATAAATAAATCATGATTAGTTTATTGTTGCAGGGTTTCACCACAATCTAATTATTGTACATATATATATATATATATATATATATTTTTTTTTTTATTTTTTATTTTTTTTTATATATTTTATGAAAACAGTGTCATAAAGAGAAGATAAAAAAAGGATACTAGCACATGAGAATATACTAAATATCTAAGCAAACCCATTTTAGAAAATTCAGCTAGCAGCAAATAAACTGGTGACAGATGAGCATGATGTGGCTATAAGACAAGCAACCACCAAAAGTTTATTTTTTGTTAAACAAAGATGGCTCACTTGGAAAGAATAACAAAAACTTGGGTGCAAACTCTATCGAAAAGTTTTTGGTTATAAAAATATGAAAAGTATGGAAAGCATTTACATCTGTCAAAATCCATGTAAAGAATAATGCAGTGTAAAGATTCAAAAAAGCTTTGGAGCAATTAGAGCGCAGACATATAGAAACCAACATTGGATCCATGAGGTCTGCCAGTCCCATGATAAAAGTGCTGGGGAATGATTATGTCATCAAACAAAATCTACCATAAAAATCCGACTGCTTCTCAGATGTGTTTCTGGGATACATTAGAATCCCATGATTACATTACATTGCATCAGTTCAATGCAAAAATCAATCAAACATGTTCCTGTTTTTAGTATTTTACACCATTTTATAATATAGCATGCTTTTTTTATTTTGTTGCATATCACTTCTTTTATTTACTTTTCATTTTATATGCTTTTATATGAATGTTTATTGCTGTGTGAACCTCATTCGTGTTTTTTTTTTTGTTTGTTTGTTTGTTTAAAACAGGTCTCTTTTAAATGCTTCCTCGTCACTGTATAAATAAAGGTTGAATGAATGAATGAATGCAGCTCTGGGTTTGCTTAAACCATGTGTTATTTGGTCCATAAAGACATAAAATACTTTTGTTGAATTTGTGTCACTTACATATAGATCCCAATAATTTCATAAACTGTACTTTTTTCTTTTTTGGGGGGGAGGAAACCAACATTTCACACGAAGGTCCCGAAGAAGTTCAGAGTGAATTCTCTGAATTCTTCCAGCCTTGAGCGTTCTGTAAATGCCTTTCATATCAGACCCTATGAAATATGGAAATTACATGTTTGCACAATTTAGTAATGACTCGTGCAAACCCTAGGCCACTTGCAAACATAATGCTTTGACTTGTGATAAAAAAAAAAAGTTGGGGCCTTTTTCTGTTTTGTGCTAATAATGTTCTGTTGCTTTAATTTGGCGACACTTGAAAAAAGTGTTTTCTGCAAATGTTTTAAACAGAAGAAACAATTTATTTATTTATTTTTGCCTTGAACTAAAAAAAAAGAGAATCATCTTGACAAAGTCCTGTCGAGTCAAAGGTCAGAGTCCCTTCTTTCTGTCCTGAGAACGCAGTGAGCACGACCAGCTGCCAGTGGCATTGTTAAACACCGCTCCACATCTTTCCTTCCCATCCTTCTGTGTGCGCTCTTAAAAAAGCAATGGGCAGTCTGCCAAGGTTCTCCTCGTGCATCCATTTACAAACCCACCTTGCTCTTATATCCAGAGACAACACACACACGCAGTGCATGTACACATGACCGCACAAACAGAAAACCCACCCCTGGGGGGGTGCCCAAAAGTTTCCGGTCCGGAAGGCCAGACACAGAAAGTCAGGAAACAATTGGGTGTAAGGGAGGTCCTCGGGCTCGTCATGCTTCCTCATCCTGGTGCGCTGCTTATTGAACTGTTGTTGCTTCTGCTATTTTACCCGTCACGGCAACAAGTCTCCATCTGGTTCCCACTCTTCCTTTGTTGATTCAAAGCAAGTTGGCATGATTTTTCTCAGGATGGACGTACCATTGATACACAAAGAGAGGCGGCATTGGTTTATTCCAACATGCTGAGCAGACCTTGGGATTTGTTTGGCAGGTTTTTGCACAAACCTTCATGGCGTCATATTTGACCAAGCTGGCTCCTACTGTAGAACGGAAAAGAATTATATTTATGTGAATCTGCAGGGGCAGTATGGCTGTGTTTCTGAGCAGTGCATTGCTGAAGTAATTAGCCCAGTGAGAAAGGGGAAGGCTCCCATGTTGACAGAGCTACTTGCATAATCAAGCCCTCCAGGTGTGCAGCAGAAAACCACTCCCCCTAAACTGTGTGAAAAGCCTGCAGGAAATAAGTGAATATCTGTCTGTCTCTTGGCAGGAGGAGATTATGGTTTCGCTAGACAGGAATCATGATGTCGAAGCACATTTCGCTGAAGCTGATGTGCAAGCTTTGAATCATGGCTGCTGGCTGTCGTGCACCATTCAACATAACTGTGTAGAATTTCAGCAGCTTGTCACACCGAGGGTTAATTTTCCACTACTTATGTCCTCTTCCACTTAAAGATGATCGATCTGTCTTTACTTATGCATGACCCACTTTTGAATTTGCACCTGACAGAAATGTAGTATTTTCACATGACCTAATTAGGTGCTTCTCTCTCTCTTTTTTTTTTTTTTAAGTTTGTAATACAGTTCAATTTTGCAAACAGCTGCAATGTGTTGTGTAATATTGGGTCCAAAGGTCATGGAGAGTTGTTTTATGATGAATAAAATGTGCCATCTTAACGCTCCAGTGCAAATGTCAAGATGTTTCCTAGCAATAATCTGCAAAAAAATATAGTAAAATTTACTGCATATATATTTTTGCTGCAAGTCTTCAGATCACAGTGAGAGGTGGCATATCTCTAAAAAATATCTGACCTTAATCTTAATCCTGCATCCGGACAAAGATCATCCCTGCTGGCGCTACGAACTGTGAGAAATGCTGCAAAATGGAAAACACAAGACTCTGCTTCACCTGTGGTTTTTGCAGAAAGTGCATGAGGGCTCATGTACTGTAGCTGTGAAACAAACATGCTTACTGTTGTCCGCGCGTCAGCAAACAGCTTTTGCTCTGAATCATCTCTTTATGCTCCGACACACGAGGCGGACTTGTTTAAGACCAAACAAAAACCGATCCTGGGGCATCTTACAAATTGCAGTTTATCTGAAAGTGAAGGGGGATTCTCATATGCTGAGCTGAGATAACAAGAGCCTCACTCAAGCAAAATAAAGCATTCTTTAAATGCTTCAACTCTGTTTAGCTTTTTGAAGAACACGGTGTTATAAAAGTTCTTTTCTTTTGTTGACTCTGATTTTTTTAAGTAATATCGTGTCAGATGAAATAAGATAGGCACAATTCTGCTAAAGCAAGCACAGTGTTTTTCTGCCCTTTAGTGCCATAATGTAAAGCTTTGTAGATTAGTTATGTTGGCAGGATTTTATTGGAAAAAAGGGATGTCATTTACTTCCAGGAAACAATCCTCAGTGGTGAGGTCAGAGCATTAACTTTAATGTTAGAACTCATATTACCTTCAGTGAATCGGAGTGGTCGTAGTTTGAAGAACCTGAGAGAAATTCTCATCAGGGAGTCAAGTTAATGGCCACTTTGAGCAAGGCCCGTTCAATAAATTTCCCCACCTGAAACAGCTCAAACTTCACAATTTCCAAGAATCTTAAGCAAAGAGTTCATACCTGACACTGTTCTTTACTTCATCTCAGTTTTTTTTTTTTGCCAAATCTACGTGACTACAGATAACTGCTTGGTACAGAATGTATCCTTCTGCTGAT